GGGGTCACTTTGGTTGATAACATTGTGTTCTGTCGTCAATAATTAATGTAACATCCTCAGTGTAAATTAGTAACGAATGTTTGTTTCGCTTATTTCAGAATACATACTGCTTTTCTTTGCCCAACATTCCAGGGCCTTGTCTGTGTAACTTAACACACATACGGAACGCCTCTTTCTACTGTGCTGCCCCTCTAGATTACAGGTGACATACACATTTAAAACTGATTTTTATGTTTCCACGTTCTCGGGGAGGGGGGGGGGGTCGGTTGTATTTATCTATTTCCGTTTTTTAATTTTTTTTTGGGGGGGTCTGTTTGTTTGTTTTTGTTTGTTGTTTTTTGTGTGTTATCTTTTTATATCTATTTATTTCTTCTTGTTGTCACCGTTGTCGTTGTCATCATCGTCGTTTTTGTTGCCATTGTGGTTGTCGTTGTTCCCTTTGTTTTGTGTTTGAATACATGCGGTTGTCGTCGTTGTCGTTGTTGTCTTTGTCGTTGTCACCGTCACCCATGTTATTGTCATTGTCGTTAATGTCGTCGTTTTGATGTTGTCGTCGATGTATTCTTTTATCCTGTTGATGGTGGTGGCACTGACAATAGTTATGTGTTAGTTATTTTTCATTGTTGTTGTTGTTGTTGTTGTTATTACTGTTGTCAAGTTCGCAGTCGACTACACGACAGAGGCTGAAAGAAGCAATAAATTAATAGAGCAGATTATGTCATTAGGAGTCTCTTGTCAAATAACAAGAAAGTAGAGTTGATGAAACCAAGAACCAAACACATAAGAAAAAAAAATGACGCCTCCGACAAGCTATAGTTTGACCAATATTTTCGGATAAAATTCCTTTTCCACATGCTGAAACTGTTTGGGACCCCTGATTTTACGCGCCCACAACCCTTTTCCTTCGATACAACCTTGCCAAGGAAAAAAAACACAGCCTCCAAATCTTCTCTCAAACAGTAGTGCATCTTTAAGAATTGACTGCAGTCGAAATTGTCCAAAACGGCTTCGCCATTGTAGAGGAGAAAAGCAGTTGTCTTAGATGGACGTCTTGGACAGAGCCATCTTGATAAAGAAAAAATAAATTAAGGAGGGGTGGATAGCGGTCGTTTGTACAGGCGATTATCTCGAACATGTGGCCGCTAGAGCAGGTTTTGCTGTAATCCTAAAAGCACTGAAGTCCAGGGTACTTTTACCTTTAGCAGCTGAACTGACAGAGCACCGCACAAACTGTTTTTGACTTTTCAAGTCTTTAATTTTTATTTTGGATCGTTTCAGATTGACTTGCGGGGACTTTGTGGGGACTCAGACGTTGATAAGTCCTCTGATTTTGAAAGGAACTCCAGCCGAGCTCATGATGATGCGCTACATGTCCAGGCAAGCTTCATAAGTTGTAGTTTGGTTTCCTGTGGTTTTCTCCTTCTTTCCTATCAAACATATGTCGTCCTCGTCCCTACTCCTTCTTTTCCCTTGTATGTTACCTTCGTATTGCCTCTAATCTCCGACACTGGTTGTAATGTTAGTCTACACACACGACAGCAAAACTAGAGACGAACACACACGACAGCAAGCATTCTAATAATGTAATGAGACCGGGTGTAGTGTCTGACTTTTTATAGATCCCCGAAGTGAGTAACATTAACCAAGAGCCCATGGCATACAGGGCGCTTACGTCCCGTGAGTAAAAAAGAGTAAGGTACAATACGGTGACTACCGTGACATCTCCCCTTTTAATATTGAAGAAAAAGGAAAACCCCAAAATGGATTAAAGATTATCGGCTTCGAGTCTCTCAAAGGGGAATGTTCAAAATTCACACACAGAGTTCAATTGTCTTTGAAGATTCCGGGCTTGCACTTGAGAACTTTGTAACACATTTCAATAAAGTTCTTTGGTATTTCATAATATCCACATTTCAAATTGTCTTTGTCACATTCATAGAACAGCATAGCGTCCCGATAACGAACTTGAGAAAATAAATTACTTCGAACAGGTAAGTCTACACAACTGTTGGGTAATCAGCAAAGAATAAACACAAAGTAAAATTTGTCATCGAAAGGATACGACTGGGTCGCAAGAACATCAGTCCGGGTAACGAGCGGGTCTCCTGACCACTCGTCCACTTCGTGTAGTTATTGGAGCTGGACTGGCTGGAACGGCTGCTGGCTGAGGTGATGGTGGTGTGACATCAGGCTCCATCGGCTGGACAGCTGGTGGCGGAGGTAAGGGAACGGACATTGGAGTAGGCTCTGGGGTGGCAACAGGTGAAGAAGGCATGGAAGGAGGGTCGACGTAGGGCTTCAGGTGTTTGCGGTTCCGGCGGTAAGCCCTATCCCCAGACTGTATGATGTAAGACCTCGGTGCACACCGTTCTTTGACAACCGCAGGGCCACGCCACTCCTTGTCGTTCTCCAGCTTCTGCAGGACGAGCTGACCAGGATTCAGCTCCGGGAGGTTCTGGGCTCCGTGACGTCTGTCAAAAGCTTGTTTGTACTTACGCTTCTACTCAGCGTCTCTGGCTGCAATCTTCGCCCTGTCGTAGACCTGCTGGTTCAGGTTTGACGGTAGAGTTGGCAGGGTCGTCCTCAGGCGTCGCCCAAGAGCAAGTTCCGCTGGGCTCGCCCCCGTCGGTGACACCGGTGTAGACCTGTAGATCAGGAGTGCGAGAAATGGGTCGTCCTGACTCAGGGCTTTCTTCGCTTCCTCGACTGCTCTCTCCGACCCGCCGTTGCTCTGGGGAAAATGAGGACTGCTGGTCGTGTGTTTAAATCCCCAGCCCTTGGCGAACTTGTGGAAACGGTCTGACACAAACTGAGGACCGTTGTCAGTCACCAGTAGTTCTGGAATGCCAAACCGAGCGAAGACGTTTTTCAGTTTGTACACGACAGTCTCTGAGGTGGTGTCTGGCATGTAGGCCACCTCCAAGTACCGTGAAAAGTAGTCCACGAGTACCAGGTAGTTATGTCCCTTGTAGTTGCAGAGGTCAGCACCAACCATCTGGAACGGCCGCTCAGGTAGAGCTGTCGGGGTTAGAGGTTCGCTTGGTTGTGCTGGACGTTTCCGCTGGCAATGGTCGCATCTTGAGACGACTTCCCGATATTTCGCCTCTGTAAACAGGCTAGTAGACTAACTGAGGACGGCGTACCCCAAGGTTCCTGCCTGAGTTGCACCTTGTTCCTGATCTTCTTCAATGGTGTAACTAACGTGTTGAAAAGATTCTCTCCGCTGATGATCTTGCTCTCTGGCAGACACATCCCAGCACAGTAGTAGGAGCTGGAAAATTAAATGAAGACCTCAAGAGGTTCCACAATTACTGTCAGAAATAGAAGTTCAAAATAAACTGCACGAAAACTGTATACTCTATCTTTACAAATAGCCATAAAACAGCCAAAGAAAAACCCCAACTAAATATAGGAAATGAAAATCTCCCCAAAGAAGAACGACCAACATACCTACGGGTTAAACTTGACCAAAGTCTGACCCTGGAAAGCCAAGTGGACAGCTTAAAGAACACGGCGAAAAGAAGACTCCAACTTTTAAAGAGACTCGCTAGCAGTTCATGGGGATCAGACAAACAAACACTGAGAGCTCTATGCTTTGGTTATATCCGATCTTCCCTGGAATACAGCAATAGCCTACTCACTATGTGTAGTGCAACTACTTGCAATACCCTTCACAAGGTCCAAAATAATGCCCTTCGTTTTATAAACGGTGGCATGAGATCTGCATCTACTGCTGCATGTGAAATTCTTTCAAATATTGAACCCCTGGGAATGCGTAGAGATGAATCAGTTTTGGAGCTCCATGAAAGAACCAAAAGAATGTGCCCCAACTACCCAAACAGGAAATTAATAGAAACATGGAAACCAAAGAAACGACTTCAATTAAAAAATCAATCATGCATCGCATCACAGAACTAATGGAGAGTCACCATCTACCATAAAACAGAAGCGAAACCAAAAAAGGCAAACAAAACATCCCTCCCCACATTTCTATGGGAAAACCAATCATTCCAACGTCTCTCAGAGATAATAGCACAAAATCTTCAGACCCAGTGACGTTGATGCTTGCATCATATCAAACAATCGACAGCTATTCGAATGACTGGATACACGTCTTTTACAGACGGCTCAGCATTCAAAGGCACAACCAAAGCTGGATATGGAATACTAATACATTACCCAGATGGAAGTTCCAATGAGATCTCTGCAGCCTATGGAGGGAAATGCAACAACTACGATGCAGAAATGATTGCAATTGAAACAGCACTATACCATCTCCGCTCAGTTTTTGTCACTCATCCAAAGAAAACGCAGAATATAGTGACTTTCACTTAGTCATTATCAGTCTTGCAAGCAATAGAAAATGACCATCATCTAAACGAAGACTTGACACATACATGTATACTGTTTGGCTCCCATCACCTGATAACATCCTGTGGTGTTAACCTGGTGATGCAGTGGATTCCGGACACTCAAACATACCTGGAAATGACAGAGCAGACACACTCGCCTAAAGGGGATCTAGACAGGAACAACCCAACATTCCAACTGCATACAACACTGCAAAACAAATCATTAAAAGTAACAGCGAACAAGATTGGATGAACAGATGGGCCTTGGCAAAGTAGTTTTCAAACATATGAGTACAACAAAACGAAATGACAATATCAACTACCTTACAGAGAAAGAAACAGACCACGATCATCCGCCTACGAACAGAACATACACAGCTCAACTTTCACTTTAACAGAATAAAACCAGAATTTCCTCCAATGTGTCCTTTGTGTGACTATGCATATGAGACAGTGGAACATTACCTTTTCCACTGCACAGCCCTAAATGACATCAGAGCCACACTTCTCTTTCCTAGACCTAACTATGAGAACACACTCTAGGGAACATTACAACAACTGCAGCAAACTTGCACTTATCATTACATGGCATTGGACAGAAGGGCGGGAGCCCAGCTGTTGCTTGGTCGATTACAACAACAACAACAACAACAACAACAAGGTGTTTGCTTGTGTTTGAGTGCTTAATCGACTGTTTGCACTGTGTGGATGTTTCTGGGCGCTCTAGCGTCTGCTGAAGTTGCAATAATTATGAAGCGCAAAGGATATGCTCTAGACGGTGGATACTCGCTATATAAATGCAATTATCAAAAATAGTAATATCATTAAAAGACGAAATACGTTCTACGCCCTCATCAGCCCAACGTAAATCAATGAGTAAAAATCAGGCTGTTTCGACACTTGTTGTCATCGACGGTCAGGGATGAATGGGATAAAACATTTAGGAACAAACCAGTTTCATAAAAATATAAACTAATGTACAAAAGTTTTTTAAATGCTCAGAAAATTGAGGTAGCCAACCCGGTACCGGTACTAATACTGAGGGTAATTTGCCATTTACACACACAAAAAAAGAAAAGAAGTTTCTTTCAGATATCTAGATTCTAGATATAACGTTTCACATGGTCGTCGGTTGTGGCAAGCTGGAAAATAAAAAACGGGGGTATGGAATAAGGAGCGAGGGGGGGGGGGAATATAAAAATCGAACTCACCTCTATTGCCATTTCGAGGTGCGGTGGCCTAGATCCTAACCAGCTGCACCACAGATCACAACTGAATGCTTCTTGAAACAAAAACAAAAAAGTGAAAAATTACAGTTTTAATGCCTCTGATAACCCGGTTAAAGACGGCGAAAGATCTTGTCAGTTTGATAGTCAGTGCAGGGATGATTAATCCGCTGCTTGCACTGTGTACTTCCCCGGGAAGTCGAGAATGTTTCTGACTGTTCTAGTTCATGTAAAGCACACAGAGCATGCTCTGCAGCCTTTTTACTGCTACTCCGTGGCTCCTTCTTACTGCTGTCTTTCAGCCACACCCCTGATCTTCTGGTAGGAAAGATCTACTCCTATCCTTCTCGGACAAGGGCGAAAAATCCCTGAAAGCCCGTGTACAAGTTGCGCACGTTAAAGATCCCTTGGTGGTCTAAAATCGATAAGAGTAGGCTTCGGCCGCCACCTGGGCAAAATTCAAAATGTCCTACCAGCTGAAAAAGTTTAATGTGTCCCGCGCGCTCATATGACCTTATGCACTTGCGAGCGCCGTAAAACACTTACCCAAAACAAAACAAACAAAAAAACAAAAACAGGCAGAGCAGATGCTGTTGAGCATAGGTATACATTATATATTATAAATTGTGCTGCCCTTGTTACATTAATATCATTATTATAATGAATTTTAAAAAATTATTACTATCATTATTACAACTTATTACAATTGTCATTATTATTATTGTTGTTGTTGTTGCTGCTGCTGTTGTTGTTGTTGAAGTTGTTGTTGTTGTTCTTGTTATTTTATTCCAAACATGTCCCTCACATTCATTCTGTCCTCCAGGACAGCGTCGGCTTTTCAAATCAAACAAGGAATCCAAATACGGACAAGAAAGAAAGGTTTATGTTCTTACTATTGGTCTGCTCTATTGGTGTGGGTTTTTGGGGTTTTGTTTTGGTTTTTTGTTTGTTTGTTTGTTTGTTTGTTTGTTTGTTTTTGGGGGGTGTTTGGTTTGTTGTTAGGGGGTTTTTTGTTGTTGTTTTGTTGTTGTGTTGTTGTTGGGG